TCCCTCGCTCGCGACAATTTGTCATCCGTCGCGCGATACGTAGAAAGCTTCCTCACCTGTCTGCGCGATGACGCATTCAACGTGGGTCTTTGACGCGGCTCCGCCTTTCTCTCTCTCTCTCTCTCTCTCTCTCATCCTTTCCTCCTTTCTCTCTCCGATACACCCGCATCCTCGTGCCATTTCGCACGTCAATGCACCGTATAACGGCGCATGCCTACCTGGTGCTTTACGACGACGAGGCGCCCTGAGCGTCGCGACGACGACAATTAAGCATCGAGAGAGAGAGAGAGAGAGAGTGGGAGAGGGAGAGAGAGAGAGAGACCCCTTTGACGCGGTGTCAATTCCCACCTCGAATCAACCGATTCCATTTTCCGCTGAACGACCTCCGGGAATCAACTTCCTGTTTCGCAGCAAAGCGCGTCGTGAGCTAATTTGGTTAGCCATCTTAGCGGCAGAGAGCATCTTAGATGATTGCTATGCGGAATTATTGTCGTAATTATTGCTACGATGGCTACACAGAGAACTTGGATAGTTTAATTTAATTTCTGGGACAAGTCTTTGCCGGTTAATGACATTAAACGTTTACCTCGACTTTATGATTTAAAACTCGAGAGTCGGCCTCTCCGTTAATTGCGAGAAAAACGATTCGCTTGTGTTCGCGCAGTTCGTAAAAAGCGTCAGTACGATAAATGGCGCTCCATATTTGCACGGGGTTGAGAAAAATCGCGGCTTCGCTACGATTACTAATTATCCTCGCCCGATGTAGACTCGGGTTTTTTTTTTCGCGCGTCATGAAAACCATCGCGTTGCAATAACAATGGAAAACAGGAAAGTGGGAGGGTAAGGGCTAATTAAGTACCGACAGGAGTAACAGAGTAATACATAATTACGCTGTATTCTTTGGGATAGCAGTTCGGGAAGGGTTTTTTGCTCTCCTCACGGTTTTCCTAACACGCGGCGAAGACTAATCAATTTTCCATTCACCGGCAGCCGCTGATGGATGACTTACGATCACGCCAGGGTTTTAATAAATCAACATCCGTCGTCGGGAACGGGTAGCGGCAGAAGAGGAGGGTCTGTCATCAGTCTTCTTAGAAGTTGACCTCGGAGGTAGGCGCAAAATCGCCCGTCGCTATCCCGTCGTCGCCGCGACGTGAACAAGCGCGCTCGTTGATGTCGAGCATGTCGCGAGAATCAATCTATCGCCGGAACTGGGATCGACATTGAAGGAAGGGCGGTTCATCCGGTCGGTCGGAAGGTTTTCCTCGATGCGCGAAAGTAACGAGGAATCAAACTATACTTTGCAACCGGATTGCAATATATATATATATATTAAAAACTGGCTCAAGACTTTTCGATTTAGTTTGTTGCCCTGCACCTGATAGTGTGCTTCATATACTTTTGTTTAGTTACACCCTGTATATATATATATATATATATAATTTATTTTTTTATTAATATATATATATATATATATATATATATATATATATCTATATATATATATAATAAAAAAAAAAATTAAATATATATATATATATATATATATATATATATATTTACAGGGTGTAACTAAACAAAAGTATCAGGTGCAGGGCACCAAACTAAATCGAAAAGTCCTGAGCGATTTTTTAATCTGAGCTTTATTTTTGACACTATTGTTAAAATTGGAAAAAATGGCTCGGGACTTTTTGATTTAGTTTGTCGTCCTGCATTTGATAGTGTGCGTGCTTCGTATACCTTCGTTTAGTTACACCCTGTATATATGAGGAACAATAAGTAAAAGAAAAGATTTAATATATCAGAGAAAATCATGAGCACACGAAGTGGACTTTATATTTCCTTTATAGCATCCAAGCTGTAATATCCTGCGATATATCTGATCTGCTCGTAAATTTCCACGGAAGAAAGTAAAACGACCGGAGGGGAAAACGCGGGAAAACGCGAAGAGCACGAGAGCGATATACGTCGCTTTCTTATTAACCGTCTCTTTTTTTTTCCGAGGATGACGACGGAGAGACGTAAACGGAAATTTCCCGGGCTATTGATTCGTATATCGATAACGTACGTCGAGTGATAATTGCACGCCGTATATCATCGGGAGGGATAATAACTGGGAAATGATCGACCGACTTGTCATTTTTACGAGAACTCGATCATGAATAGAGGTTGACATATAGAATCATAAGCGTCCGCAGGATTTTTTCCACGGAGAGGCATGATATTAAAAATCTTTCAAGTTTCTTATTATTATTCTTTCCTAATTTGATAAATTCAATTTTTCTATTATTTTGTTATTTTAATATTTTCATATTAAACAAAATTGCAAACAAATTCCAGTGTTTATTCACAAAAAGAGCAAATGTTTAATTTTTTTCTGCTCCCAATTTTCTTGGTTGCGGACGCCCATGTATAGAATAGAAAGACAAGCATATATTTACGATTGTAATTTTCCCTTCGATAACACGGCAAAGTGTCTATCACATTACCAAATTACACAGTGTTTTTATAGTTAATCCCCCTTGATTTTTAATATCCAGCTGCATAGATCGATACTATGACGTATTATGTTCAAAATTTTGATGACAAGCAAACTTTTTTCAAAGAATTAGCGATAGATAATTACAGCGCGCTTCATTTCACTCTAAAAGCTGATCCTGAAGGTATTACCGTCAGTGCCACGGAAAGGGACAAACGTCGGGTGTGGCTTATCTGAACGGACGAGCGGTTTCACCGGAATTTGCTTGTAACCGCTTGTAGCCGCAGTGTACGCTGGTTCAGCATGTTGAAGTCGTGTGTATAGTAATTACTTAACGAAGTAAATACGATTTCACACACGCGCGCATATTCCGTAAATATTTTCAACTCTCGCTCAAGTTAGAATGATAACGAATAATTTTGCTGGAGTAAAAATTAAAATGATAATGCAGGTATATTATCATAGGCCACAAATAATCCTCTTAAATTCTTTTTTTATCAAAGCTTGAAAATATCATACGATGTATATTTCACGGATCATATAGTAAAAATAAAAAGGAAAAAGATGGGACACATCACATGTCACGTATCTAAAATTTATTGGAATTAAGGCACTATTTTGAGAAATGATGTGTTTTTGTGCTTCAAGAATAATCGTGAATCGCGAATATCGATATTATTAGAATTTCAAATCGCTTTTTCTTAAAAAAAGAAAGGACTTTTTTTATCCGCAGCACCGGCACCGACAGATTTGTTTGAATAAATAATGTATACGGAATTTTCTGTTTCGCACGCACTGATCTAGTTTTGTTTATCCAGTTTCAATATCTCATATTCGGCTGTCTTAAAATATTCGCGTCAATGTATTAATTTATGAGATCTAGGCGCTAATTAAACATATTCTTATACATATATGAATTAAGCATTTTTAAATAATTAATATATAACAATTATAAAGAATTATAAGTGAAACCAATAAACTTATAATTTAAATGCGCCATCACGTTTTAATATTAGAAATTAAATTTGCTTATTAATTATGCACATCCTTTTAAAGCATTTCTATTTTTGAAATTCATTTTATTTTATTATATATTCCATCCATTTTGTTTCCGAATCATTTTGCTTTCATTAAATCTACCATATTTATAATGTACTACTTTTATTTTTAATATATCTCAAAAACAATTTTACATTTAAATGGACGTTAATGCACATTATATTTATCCCATCTATATCAAAATTACTTCATCATCAATAGCACCAATTTGAATTTCTCAATTATATTCTTCGCACTGAATAATCTAGAGGAATCTTTATAATTCTTTACTAAATTTAGAGATATTTTCGTATTTAAAATTTTAGATATTATTATATCTTTATATAATTTAAGAAATCTTTCAAAGCTTCATAATATTTTAAAATAACTTTACAATCACTTAAAAATCGTCAAGATTATTGTTGCGAAAAAATTCTGCCGTCAGACCTCGAAATCATTTCACCACATCGATTGGCATATCGATGCACGCCACCACTTTCTATCGATCGTTTGATTCAACCGGCAGGAGTATACCGTCCCAACATAAGACATCTATGGTGAGTACATAATGGGGCAAGTACGTGGGTGCTTAGTACGTGCTACGTAGCCAGCTTATCAGAAGCGCGCAGAGGGATGCCCAGGATAGGCAGGCTTATCGACTCAACGGCTTGACAGGCTTCCGCGTCCTTTCCCACCTTTAGTAGATGGGGCATCGAAAGATGATGAATACCGATCGAAGGACCCCAAGGACTTTCAGCGACTCTCCCGGGGTCGTGCTCGGTAAGCTCTATACGAAGTCGTTGATGCGTCGTGAGAGAGAGAGAGAGATCGAAAAGGGGATACGCTGTGACCGACATTACGTGCTTAAGAAGCTCGTGGTCGATCCTCGATATGGCTACAGTAGTAAACAGAGTTGCTTCCCCGGGTTTTCCCTTTTCCGGATCGGCTTAGCGCGAGCAAATATATTCCGTATCGCGGTGGATCAGGGAAAAATTAGTAGGTCAAATATAGGGATCTCCTGATAATCCTCTTACCAGTATTCGCATTTTATTGATAGCGGGCTAACGTTAAACAACTACTTACGAAAAATACTTAAAATTTCGAACAGATTCAAAAGATCCCCGAAGAAAGAGGAGCAAATCTATATTAAAAATATCCTAGTCCTGAGTCTTTCAATAATAAGAAACTTCGCAGAATGTATAATATTAATAAAAGCTTTATTATATATTAAAGGTGACGATGCTTTAAAGGTGTAGTTTATATAGAGAAAAGATATAAAAAATATCTTTTCTCTATTAAGCTTTGTTTAGAAAGTTCAGAAAAAATTTGAGGAACTGTCCAGAGAGTTATTCTATTTTTAGCTCGCTATTCTCGTATATTTGCCAGGTACATATACGTTTGATTTGTATATGTCACGAATGTCGATAAATCATATAAATAAACGAAAAGAGTATGAATGACAGAATTAGAATATAGTACTTACAGGTTGTAGTGCACGTCTGCCATGTTCGGTCGATAGCGAAGAGCTTGAACAAACGCTTCCTCCGCTTCGGCTATTCGACCCTGTTCGCTGAGAATGCTCCCCAAATTACCATAAGCTAGAAACAACAAGAGAAAAAATATTTAATTTCATTATCTTACTGCAATAAAATAATAATTAAACATTAAAAAAGCCCGCATGAGCGTATAAATTGTACGATGAAAAAATAATAAACATATTTATTTAAAAAATGGAAAGATTTGAAAAATAGAACAACAAAAACATAGTCGTGAAATATAGTATAGTTGATGTAGAAAATAATGGCGAATATATACCAGAGATAATTATTAACGGATGGCACGATTTACAGGTGCGAAATAACATCTTACATTTTCAGTGTTAATTATTATCCTAGCGGCAATTACTTGAGAATTATCGCGATCAAGATACGCCCGTCCATCATTTCTCTGCTTACGTGCTCGCCCTAGGTACACGGTTTGTAGTTGAATATTCAACTCGTTAAATGATCAGTAGGAAGTGCCCCGGGAACATAGTTACATGCTGCGCGCACGCACACCGCTCGCTTATATACATCACTTTCCAGACATAAAGGCTAATATTTTCGTTGTTATTCCACTTTCTGCTGTGCTATTACGGGATATTTTGGGGTGTAGTTTGCACAGAATAATTCGACCTACTTGAGGAATATTAATTCTGATAAGTGTTCAAAATGCATGAAGTGAAATCATATCAAAGAATAATTAATTACACGTAGCGAATGTTGAGCAAACAATTATCATCGATATATAAAAAGATATGAAAGTTCGTCAAACATTTCCAAATAATAAATGACCTACATTACTTTTTTCTCCGTTTCCAATTACTTCAAATCAAAAACTATTTTCAGAAATAATACAATTAATATTCGCGCTCCACTTCCTGCGTTTGACGACTCTAAATTGCCCTTTTCTCTCTCGCAATTTCATTATTTTCGAAAAAATATTTTCCTCAGAAAAATATTGACCGTATATAACACACACAGGTAGACACAAAAATATTCAAACACCTCTCTTTTATATCTCTCTCATTGGCACAGTTTCGCGAATGTGCTTAATCGTGATTGACAGATCGCGGCGCGCGATCGGCGCTGGAAATCGCAGTTTAGCTGAAGAAAACGTTGCTGGAGCGTGCGCTGATACCGGGGTGTCAGTCGCTATATACGCGTGTTAAATCAACGAGCGAACGTCAACCCGATGGTAGAGTGACTCCGTTGAGTTCCCCCTCGATGGAGGAAAAGAGAGAGGATGCGTGCGGCAGCCGCGTGGGTGCAGGTTGTTGTTGAACAGGAAGAGAGGACGCGCGCGCGCGCGCGCGCGTTGACGACCTGAACCAACAAAATGTAAATTTATTTCTCGTGGAGCGGAGCAGCCTGTTAACACGGTAACACGCAATTTCTGTCGGCGCAATTAAAACGCGCTGTGACGTCGCCGTTGGCGCCGGTAGCAAGCGCGTTGTGTCGGCGTTAGCTCGCGTGACCCGCCAGCTTCCATCCCCTTTCTCTCGCTCGGCTTTTTTCCGTGCCTCTCTTTGCGGAGGATATTTAAAAAATGGACAACGGGAGATTGGGCGGGAATGGAAAGCGTCCTCGAGCAAGGAAGGGTCGAGATTGTCTCGCGAGAGCGCGGAATTAAGGCGGGCAGCTGTTAATTTAAAAAAAATGTGGACGGACGAGAGTAAACTTTCTACATCAAAGCTTGATAAATACGCTTCGCAACTCTCTCTGTAGTTTAAGTTATATTAATGTTACTAAATAAAAATGTATTTCTTGAAAATTGTAATGACAAGGAAATCTCTCGATTATATTATTATAAATAATTTTGATTATTAAGGGACCAATTTGTGTTCGAACATTACATTTCGATGTTACATTTAGATTGAATGAATGGGATAAAAGCTGACGTCGGCGCGAAATTTGACTTTATAGAGAACGCTCCATTAATCGAACGAACGTGCATAAATAATATAAAAGCTAGGGTAAGATAATCATAAAATAATGTAACGCGATCGATGATGTGGAACAGATGTGCAGCGCTGATGTGCGGCGTAATTAATACGAACTACTGTCCGGTAGATTAAATCGTGCAATCAATCGTTAGATTATCATGAAAGTAAATGGAGCGGATAAAGTGTAAAAAGTGGCAAAGACGAATGGCGTTCCGAGAGAAAACCCATGTAAAGGAGTGACTTATATCGTCGATGCTCCATATGTATCGAGTTTAAAAACCAAATGTCCATCTGTGTGTCTCTTTCTCTTGTAAAATCTTTTATTTTTTTAAATAAAATAAACGTTTCCTACGAGTTTAAGATAAATCCCCGATAGACGAAATAGAAAAATATTACTCTCGATAAACTTGGTAATGACAATAATTGTAAAAAGGAGGAATATTAATACGGGAGAAATTTCACTACATTTCTGCTAATGTGCTCGTATTGTGTCGTGTGGATAAAACGCGTTATAGAAACGAAGCAAAAATTCTCGCCAGCAAAAGGAGAGCCGCCGGAGCAGTTACTGCGGGACTGTAAGTTAAAATAATTACGAAAAAGTACACCGTGGAGGATAAACGCCGTATGAAAGTGGATAAAAGGTTGAAAAAAGGTCGGGACGGATTAGGAGGGTGCATTAAAAGGAGAACTCCCTCCCGACAGATGAGGAGAAACGAGAAACTCGCGTATGCTCTTAACACGCGCGTGCACGCTCGTGTAAGACGTTCTGTCAGATGGCTTAAAAATATATGCAGAGAGAAAGTAAGGAACCATCGAGGAAGAAAACCGATGATTTTTTTTAAATGCAATCACATAAATCTAATTTGATATTTATATAGTTAAGCAATGAAAATAAAAATTGCATTATATGTTTTTGCAATTTTGATTTAAAATTAAGAAAATTCAATTTGTGAATAAAATCTATATGTATAGTAAAAATCTATTTTGCTATAAATATTTTCTCTTCCACATATACATACATATATATAATACAATGCGGACGATATCACTTTGAAATAAAACTTTCATCTAATTTCGCTTTCAACTTTACCGTTACAATTAAATTCAGAAATATTTGTCGCATATACAGATAAGCGCGAGTTGAAATATAATTGCCATTAGAATAGGTATACACAAGATCCGAGAAATTAAAGAGAGAGAGAGAGAGCGCGCGCGCGTGCAGTAGAAATAGACAGAGTAGGGTCAGACGGGGTCCTCGTTGCATGCAATTTTTATTTAAAATTAAGAAAATTCAAATTGTTAATAAAATCTATATGTATAGTAAAAATCTATTTTGCTATAAATATTTTCTCTTCCACATATACATATGTATAATACAATGCGGACGATATCACTTTGAAAAAAAGCATTCATCAAAATTCGCTTTCAACTTTACCGTCACAAATAAATTCAGAAATATTTGTTGCAGATACAGATAAGCGCGAGTTGAAATATAATTGCCATTAGAATAGGCATACACAAGATCCGAGAAATTAAAGAGAGAGAGAGAGAGCGCGCGCGTGCAGTAGAAATAGACAGAGTAGGGTCAGACGGGGTCCTCGTTGCATGCAATTTTTATTTAAAATTAAGAAAATTCAATTTGTTAATAAAATCTATATGTATAGTAAAAATCTATTTTGCTATAAATATTTTCTCTTCCACATATACATATGTATAATACAATGCGGACGATATCACTTTGAAAAAAACTTTCATCAAAATTCGCTTTCAACTTTACCGTCACAAATAAATTCAGAAATATTTGTCGCATATACAGATAAGCGCGAGTTGAAATATAATTGCCATTAGAATAGGCATACACAAGATCCGAGAAATTAAAGAGAGAGAGAGAGAGAGAGAGCGCGCGCGTGCAGTAGAAATAGACAGAGTAGGGTCAGACGGGGTCCTCGTTGCATGCAATTTTTATTTAAAATTAAGAAAATTCAATTTGTTAATAAAATCTATATGTATAGTAAAAATCTATTTTGCTATAAATATTTTCTCTTCCACATATACATATGTATAATAGAATGCGGACGATATCACTTTGAAAAAAAGCATTCATCAAAATTCGCTTTCAACTTTCCGTCACAAATAAATTCAGAAATATTTGTCGCATATACAGATAAGCGCGAGTTGAAATATAATTGCCATTAAAATAGGCATACACAAGATCCGAGAAATTAAAGAGTGAGAGAGAGAGAGCGCGCGCGTGCAGTAGAAATAGACAGAGTAGGGTCAGACGGGGTCCTCGTTGCATGCAATTTTTATTTAAAATTAAGAAAATTCAAATTGTTAATAAAATCTATATGTATAGTAAAAATCTATTTTGCTATAAATATTTTCTCTTCCACATATACATATGTATAATACAATGCGGACAATATCATTTTGAAAAAAAGCTTTCATCAAAATTCGCTTTCAACTTTACCGTCACAAATAAATTCAGAAATATTTGTCGCATATACAGATAAGCGCGAGTTGAAATATAATTGCCATTAAAATAGGCATACACAAGATCCGAGAAATTAAGAGAGAGAGAGAGAGAGAGAGCGCGCGCGTGCAGTAGAAATAGACAGAGTAGGGTCAGACGGGGTCCTCGTTGCATGCAATTTTTATTTAAAATTAAGAAAATTCAATTTGTTAATAAAATCTATATGTATAGTAAAAATCTATTTTGCTATAAATATTTTCTCTTCCACATATACATATGTATAATACAATGCGGACGATATCACTTTGAAAAAAAGCATTCATCAAAATTCGCTTTCAACTTTCCGTCACAAATAAATTCAGAAATATTTGTCGCATATACAGATAAGCGCGAGTTGAAATATAATTGCCATTAAAATAGGCATACACAAGATCCGAGAAATTAAAGAGTGAGAGAGAGAGAGAGCGCGCGCGTGCAGTAGAAATAGACAGAGTAGGGTCAGACGGGGTCCTCGTTGCATGCAATTTTTATTTAAAATTAAGAAAATTCAATTTGTTAATAAAATCTATATGTATAGTAAAAATCTATTTTGCTATAAATATTTTCTCTTCCACATATACATATGTATAATACAATGCGGACAATATCATTTTGAAAAAAAGCTTTCATCAAAATTCGCTTTCAATTTTACCGTCACAAATAAATTCAGAAATATTTGTCGCATATACAGATAAGCGCGAGTTGAAATATAATTGCCATTAAAATAGGCATACACAAGATCCGAGAAATTAAAGAGTGAGAGAGAGAGAGCGCGCGCGTGCAGTAGAAATAGACAGAGTAGGGTCAGACGGAGTCCTCGTTGCATGCCGCGTATTCATCTTCCCAGCGATTTTATGGACACGGTAGGCGCATAGTTGCCTGCGTCGAGGTGCGAGATGAACAAACGGGATAATGCACACACAAATACGTCCGTACATACATGGGCACGTCGGTGGCACAATGGCCCCGGCGTTATAACGAGAAAACAGGGGGCAGGCGTGTGATATCCGTCGGCCCTATCGGCTCTGGCAAGGGAAATTTCATTTTTACGCGGTCGTATATTTTCGTCGCGGCGACGCGCCTATCGGGCCTCGATCAACGCGCAATGGCTTTTTATTATTAACGCGCGCGCAGCGCGTTTCTCTATTATCTTTATGTCTTTAATCCGTCCGGCGAACAGGCGGTATAACGCACGACGGGACACATCGGGGCCGCGTTCCTCTCTTCCTTTTTATGTCCCTCACGTATATATAAAGAGATACATTCTCATAAATATCGCATGCATTTAAGGGTGGACGCGACTGATAAAAGTGTCATCGGCGACGATGGTACTTTGCGAGATACCGAATATCGAGCTCGCATGCACGAGCTCGCGTTAAAAAATACATTGCTCAGCGAAAAGCTCGAGTTCCTTTTTTAATTGACTATTTCATTTGATGAAAGATTAGTCATATATTTCGATATCTCTCTCGTTTCTTACTCTCGACATATCTTTTTCGCTTCATTTATCACACTTCATTTCACGTTTTTTAATTCCCTTTCTTCCCCACGCTAAATTGTTAATACTACGTGTCTACATAAAATATTGTCGACCCCTCGAAAACTTTCATCTAATTTCTAAACCTAAAATCCCACGCTGTTCACGAGCACTACAAGTTTAAAATTTTTTATCACAAACTTTTAATAATACAGTCTACATACAACTTTTTCATTCTAAATCTTGCGCGAGGATATAAAATTAAAATTCCTCCAAGATATACAAAAGATTGGATTGAACGAGGGAAACGGAAAAAAATGTACGAATTCAATCGTGCCTTTATACTCCGATGCCTCTTTACTCCGATTAATAATAAATACAGCGCTCGCTCACCTTTTGGCGGATTGACTTGCAGCGCGGACCTGTACAAACTCTCCTCATCTCTCCAGTCGGCGTTCCTCACGAGCGTCTTCGCCGACATGACGCAGATGAGGATCGCCGTCGCCAGCAGCACCGCTCTGCCGCGCGTTTTGGACCCGTTTCTCCTCGCTATCCGATAGCATCCGGACACCGCGGCGCCGATGACCAGGCAAGCGCCCACGCTGGGCAGGTACAGTATCCTCTCGGCTATGACGAAACCCACGTAGAAGAAGAGATTGCTCGCCGGCAGGAACGGGAGTACGAGGAAGCCCAGAGAGACGGCGACCGCGGTGGCCGCCGCTTGTCGGCCGCCAACGTTCACGCCAACGTGGCTGCTGCTGCTCGGCCTCTTGGCACAGTGACAATCGCCGAGCGGACTGTTGTTGTTGTTGTTCGCCGCCCTACAGCCGTCGGTGTGACAGCCGCCGGTGCGTCTGCCGGCGCACACGGGACACCTGGACGAGGTAGCCGCTCGCGCCGAATACACCTGCTGGCTCAGCATCGTCGACGACGAGCTACGTCGACGTCGTCGTCGCAGACCCCTGATCGCCCAGAAGGCGGCGCCGATCAGGGCGCCGTACAGGCACACCGATTCCAGATTGCGCGGGTCCAGAGGGCTGGTTATGCGCGGCACGGCGTCCATCGACCAGTCGAAGCTCAGCGTGCTCGGGCACAGCAGCATTCTCGCGCTCGCCGCCGGCAGATAGAGGAACGTGAGGCCGCGCGTCAGTCGCGACGGATGCCTCGCCGCCGGATTGTCCGCGCTCGCGAACTCGGGCCTGCTGCCTACGAGCCTGAGTCGACCCAGGGCGAGCAGCACCAGACCGCCTGACAGAATGCCGACGCTGCGACCTCGAGTGAATCCGCAATTGCCCTGAAATTCGACGATTGACAGATATGTGTGTCATCGCTCGTGTAATTCCGTCGAACGATGATTGTCGTGCTTGCGCGACTATATAATACGTTGCATGCATGTAGATTAGGTTCAATTAGGGGATACGTATTTCGATGTGTGGCATGCATTATATACATACGAAGGAACTTTTATTTTTTTTTTAAAGAACTTGCAGCAGCCAAAATCTATCTTTTCGACAGCAAGTGTCAACATCTTGTAAAAGAATTCTATGAGATTTCCTGGTTGTCAAAAAGTTGTCAAGAGTAATAACTTATCTAGTATCAATTTAATATTGATTTATTATTTGTAAAATTAATTTGCATACAGTAACAAAGACCGGACGCCCATGGCGACGTTGTGGATTTAAAATAATCCAGCTAAAGATATAGCACATATGTGCACACGCGTACATTATGTTGCGATACACGTGCGCGCGTAAGATACATGTGTTGTTCGCAGGTGTGTACAGAAATAATAAAAGTACCGTAAAAACGCATTACGAGGGGGTATCTCGGGAAATATGATACCGTAATAACGCGACGGTTATTCTTGTTGTCAGTTCATCGGGTATACCGTTGTTCCCTATTGCAATAGGGCGCGCTCTCCCTCCTTTTTTTCCCCCGTGAATAAACAGAGAGGAAAAAGAAGCGAATTGGAAGTATGAAAGCTTTCACAGTCGTCGGGTTGTGCGATGTTTGCTACGGCGAAACGCGGCACCGCATCCGACCGGAAGGTGGTTTCGCTCGGATGGAAAGGAGAAAATCGTTTGTCCGACGAATCGGCGAACAAGACGCGTTTCGCCGTACAATACTCATGTTGACGAAACGCGAAGGAATAACAGACGCTTTGTTGCACCCTTCACCGCTCGCGATGGACAAGCAAAATGTTATCGAAGAACGGCAGGGACCTCGTGGGGATTTTGCGTTGCGCGAGCAATCCGATTACAGTTGTTCCAGAATTCATAAAGCGTAAATAACTCGGGTCACTTTCATTATTTCAGTATTATTCGTGAATGTGTGTGTGTGTAATGTACGAGATCAATATTATTAGAAATATATTCAAAATCAAATTGAATACTTAAAACGTCGCTAGTGGTATTTAAAATTGGAACGATATATTTAATTCGACCCAAACTAGCCAAGAAAATTTTTATTTTATTTCCACAACGTTTCGACCATCTGTTTTTGGTCCTTTTCAAGTGAAAAATTTCTTGATAAAAACGCAGTTAGTTGACACTGTTGTCATGATTATTAAACAATATGATTATCGGACTTTTTTAAAAACATTTGAAATAACTTTTGAAAGAAAGTAACCGCATCTTATCGTTATGATGGATCGTCAAAAAATTGCGCTTTTATCAAGGAATTTTTCACTTGAAAAGAACCAAAAACAGATGGTCGAAACGTTGTGGAAATAAAATAAAAATTTTCTTGGCTAGTTTGGGTCGAATTAAATATATCGTTCCTTTTTTAATATATTCAAAGTTGAGCAAAATGTCTGTCAGTAAAGAATTGGAAAAGTAATTTTTTTTTTTTTTTACAAAATGGTAAATATAATACACATTTATTCAAAAAGGCCAACTTATCGAGCAATATTTAAGATGTTGCATCCAATTAAAATTTATTTCATAAACAATATATTAAAATTACAAAAACCATATAAACGTTTCAACCGCACGCGGTCTTCCTCAGTATAACAGTGTTACGTAATTTATAATTCTTACAAAAAATCATCCTATTCTTAAAATTTACTAATAGTCCATTAATTCGAGTCGAGAATTTATTAGAAATTTATGCGTGTTACAATTTGTCATATTTATAAAACTATTCGCCGTAATGTGATCTTATGATGTTGGATCTCGTAAATTATTTCTTCGTTTTTAAGCGAGAAATTCTTAATATCCATAGGCGTTTGTGTCGCCTCTTCTCACAGTTTAACACAATTTAAAAAAAAATTGAAATTATTATAAATAAATAAAACCAACTGTCTAACAAGACACCTCATTTTGAACTATCATAAATATTGCTCGGCAAGTTGGCCTTTTGAATACATTTGTTGTTTTATACAATACACGAGCGAATAGAAATTTTAATTGATATTATAATACACATTTTTTATGAAATTTAACACAATTTTTACAAAAATTGAAATTATTATAAATAGATAAAACCAACCGTCTAACAAGACACCTCATTTTGAACTATCATAAATATTGCTCGACAAGTTGGCCTTTTGAATACATTTGTTGTTTTATACAATACACGAGCGAATAGAAATTTTAATTGATATTATAATACACATTTTTTATGAAATTTAACACAATTTTTCAAAAAATTGAAATTATTATAAATAGATAAAACCAACCGTCTAACAAGACACCTCATTTTGAACTATCATAAATATTGCTCGACAAGTTGGCCTTTTTGAATACGTTTGTTGTTTTATACAATACACGAGCGAATAGAAATTTTAATTGATATTATAATACACATTTTTTATGAAATTTAACACAATTTTTACAAAAATTGAAATTATTATAAATAGATAAAACCAACCGTCTAACAAGACACCTCATTTTGAACTATCATAAATATTGCTCGACAAGTTGGCCTTTTTGAATACATTTGTTGTTTTATACAATACACGAGCGAATAGAAATTTTAATTGATATTATAATACACATTTTTTATGAAATTTAACACAATTTTTCAAAAAATTGAAATTATTATAAATAGATAAAACCAACCGTCTAACAAGACACCTCATTTTGAACTATCATAAATATTGCTCGACAAGTTGGCCTTTTTGAATACGTTTGTTGTTTTATACAATACACGAGCGAATAGAAATTTTAATTGATATTATAATACACATTTTTTATGAAATTTAACACAATTTTTAAAAAATTGAAATTATTATAAATAGATAAAACCAACCGTCTAACAAGACACCTCATTTTGAACTATCATAAATATTGCTCGACAAGTTGGCCTTTTTGAATACATTTGTTGTTTTATACAATACACGAGCGAATAGAAATTTTAATTGATATTATAATACACATTTTTTATAAAATTAGATTAAAGAAAATTCGCGCGTAAAGGATCTTGATGAAATCCCTCTTTCTCTGCGCGGTAATCGTGGCTGAAAACGCGATTCGAAAGTTACACAGACAGTCGGATCAGGCTGAAATAATAGTTTGCGGTGAATTTATAATTCACGTTAAGCACGATTACGCTCTTTCGCCGAGACATTCGTCTCATATCTCCGACTTCCGCAGGAATGGGGAACTGGCACAAAGTGCGGCGCAAAGTTCGTTAAAAAAGTTAGCCGACGCAAAATTGAATACCCCCACGTCGTTGTGTTCAAGAACGGGGTGTCGCGCGCGCGCGTTTTACCGCACGTTGTTTCCGGTATACGCCTTATTACTTCGCATTACCCTCGGTCTCTTATTTTCCACCATCCTCCTATCTTTCTCCCTCGTCCTTTTCCATTCCAATTTCGTATTATTTCCAAGTTTCTTGGACGCAAAACGGAGACAGAGAGGAGACACTACACGCGGAAGATTTGTTTCAGGGCATGGCCGTGAATAGTTTAAAACTCTCGCCTTAATAAACGAACGATACGTCGCGCTTCGTGCAAACTTCCGCCAAGTTCGTTACAACCGTAAGATGTAATTTTCCGAGCGACGCGAGCGGCTGCAGCATCCGGGCGGCGCGTCGACGGTTCTGTAACCGCTAATTCCTGAACAAAACTTTTGCTATAAAGACTTCCTGTGACAGCAACAATTATCCGTATTACGTACAATAAGGCGCTCTGTATGTTTGCCAAAGTCCGTGTAACAGTACGCGATTAATGTTAATTTACTCGTTGACTGCCGTCCCGGAAAATCAATCCGACATTGGAAAATTTCCGAGAGAGAAGGGACGGCGAGGGTTTTTTTATTATTCAACATAATCGACTGCTGCACAGTCTAGTTTTTCGGATTGAAATAAATCCGTTTTTTTTTTTTTTTTTTTTCATTCCACGATTTAATATTTTAAAAACTTTGCTCGTCGGCTAATGTTTCTATTTTTTCGGTAATGCGATTAAAATACACTTAGATATATATACGAGCAATTTCAACATCTCGTATCGATAAAATCCGGATGCGGAACCTTGCATCTACCGGATGTACCGGAATTAGATACGAATATACTGAGGATTATCGAGGCTGCGCGCTATAATTGTCGTAATTCCACCACTTATCGTGGCTTCTCTGCGCGATATTGTTTTATCTCCGATATAAAACGGCCAACGAAGCATCGAAAAACGAAACAAACGTCATCAGAGCCGGATTTAACATCGCGGCGATATTTCAAGAAGAGATATCCGTCTCTGTTCGATACCCACCCCCGTAGAATCGATAATCTGAAAATCAGATTTTTTCCAATTACTTCGCGATCGTTCCGGACAGCTCGATCGTAACTTAATAAATTCTCCGCTCTCTGCCCTTTTCGCGTCCATCCCCCTCGACGACTCTAGTTCTCATCTGCGGAACGTCACGTCTCGTTTGTCTCTCGGCCTCGCTGCAGTTTCCGTCGATCCACGCATATTTCCGCGCGACCGAACAAAGCGAGTAGAAAACGAAAAAAGATGAAGCGGTGACGTTTCCGCTTTCGAATGGCATTTTGGACTCTGTGATTCGGATGAAAAAAAATCTCAATACTTTCTCGTTAAAAGTTTCATCGACTGTTACATTTTTTATTCACTAAATAATTATTTATACAGGCTGATCTAAATAAGTGCGAAAAATGTTGGATGATTCTTTGGCAAAAATTAAGGCGGGTTTCTTGTATCAAAATCAAACTTGATAGATATTTTCTACTAATAAAAAGGATATTTATTCATATTTCTAAAAAAAAAAAAATAATAATTTCTCAAGGAAATATAAAAGAGTATGCACATATATGTTATACACAAAACGCCCTTTAATTTTCGACAAAGATTCATCCCCTAAAATATTTCGTCTCGTTAAAAGTTTCATCGACTGTTACATTTTTTATTCACTAAATAATTATTTATACAGGCTGATCTAAATAAGTGCGAAAAATGTTGGATGATTCTTTGGCAAAAATTAAGGCGGGTTTCTTGCATCAAAATCAAACTTGATAGATATTTTCTACTAATAAAGAGGATATTTATTCATATTTCTAAAAAAAAAAAAAAAAAAAATAATTTCTCAAGGAAATATAAAAGAGTATGCACATATATGTTATACACGAAACGCCCTTTAATTATCGACAAAGATTCATCCCCTAAAATATCTCGTCTCGTTAAAAGTTTCATCGACTGTTACATTTTTTATTCACTAAATAATTATTTATACAGGCTGATCTAAATAAGTGCGAAAAATGTTGGATGATTCTTTGGCAAAAATTAAGGCGGGTTTCTTGTATCAAAATCAAACTTGATAGATATTTTCTACTAATAAAGAGGATATTTATTCATATTTCTAAAAAAAAAAAATAATAATTTCTCAAGGAAATATAAAAGAGTATGCACATATATGTTATACACGAAACGCCCTTTAATTATCGACAAAGACTCATCCCCTAAAATATTTCGTCCTTATCTAGATACACCCTGCATAATATATAAATTCAACGTTGAAATATCTTTGATTTCGGCGGAAAAAATTATCTTTTCACGCTTCGAATTCTTTCCTAGAATTTAATCCGCGCCACCGAAGCGCATTCGACTGCAGGTTATCCTGGTGGGAAACGATGCACACGATGGATACTTTGGACCGAACGAGAAAGCCGCAGAGGGGGGTTGCAGCAGACGGCGGACGCGAGGAAGGGAGGGATGGAAATATAATAAGAAGAGAGACGTGTCTCAGAGGGGTGCCTCAGAGGGAAGATGCGAACGATCCTCTTGGCACCCCTCCAATCCGCCGGTGAAACGAGGGAAGAGACGAGCATACGTCATGCATCACGCGAGGCGTCCGATGCATCCGGATGCAATGTGCGAGAAAGGAGAAGGCGAATGGGGGATTTCAGGGAGGTAGGGTAAGTGACGACACATAGTAGGCGCCCGAAGGTGGAGGCTCGAGATGGGCGGCTTGCCGTGTGTGCATCAGCTTGCTGTCTTCCCCAGAATGTAGGCAGGATGCAGCGCGCCTCGCAACGGCACTGCGTTATCGGTTACACGCTTCTCCGAATCCGTACGTGAGCACGCGGGCTGCTCTGTCTGTCTTCCGCCTTGTTTCCCTGTCGAAACTTTCACGCTCCGCGAAATGCGAGGAGACGAGTAAACGACGACGCGACGCTCTCGCGCGTAACAATCGCTCAACGCAAATCGCGCGAACTGATATACATATATATATATATATATATATATATATATATATCAGTTCGCGCGATTTGCGCTGATATATATATATATATATATATATATATATATACATATATATATATATATATATATATACATATATATATATATATATATATATATATACATACATATATATATATGCACTATATATATATATATATATATATATATATATATATATATATATACAGGGTGTCCGGTTAACGGACTAATGATTAAGGGCGGATTCTCCGGCCAATTTGGAGACGATTTTTTCTTAGCAAAAATGTTGAGAAGTCAATAATTTTCGAGTTCTAAGCGATTGAAAAAAATGGGTTTTTTGAAAACTAAACGTTTTGGAGTTAAAAGTCTAACATAATTACATTCTTCGGTTAATTTCAGGTAGAGTTTATTATAATAAAAATCTCTCCTCAAAGTTAAAAGTCGACCAAACTGGCAATTATTTATTATAAATAATTAGTTGAAATGCAACGTTTCGGCTGTCATTGCAGCCCTTTTCGAATAAATCTATAAAAAGTGACATAAAAATAATTATAATTTTAATACACTTCATCGCTACAAATAATTATACATTCAAATACAAAAATATGCTACATACCAAATTAATACAGTAAATGAAAATCAATGCAAACGACCGACAGTATTCACCATTGTTTTGATGAACAATGTAGAATCGACAGAAGTAAGCAAGAAATAAATAGATGTTAATTGTTAGCAAGAATCTTAGTCACTACGCGTTAAGAAAATAGAGACAAAACTAATGTGTCTTTCGCAATCTAAAACGTCATAACAAAGTCAAATAAATAAATAAATAGGTAAATATAAAAATAAAAATAATTTTAAATAGCGTCAAGAATATAATTTATATAATAGAATATAATTTATTATAAGAAAATTTTAATTTGAGGTTTAGTTATAAAGATACATAATGACAAATATTGGAAAGTTGTAAAAAATGATGACCTTTTTCGACATTTTTGCTGAGGAAAAATCGTTCCCAAATTGACCAAAGAATTTATTTGTAATCGTTGGTCCGTTAGTTACCAGACACCCTGTATATATATATATATATATATATCGATTCGCGGGATTTCTGCTCAATAATTTCGTGATGCGACGACGCCTCGAGTTTCCTAGTTTTGTAAAATTCAGGATACTTTTTATCTAGTTATTAAACGCGCTTACTATTTAAGTCCTTATTAAATAAACGTAATCAGGGTGCCCAGCAGACCCAATGAAAAATTCCCTGACTGTTTAGTATTATTTTTGCCAAATATATAATTTGCATATATCTATATGATAAATCAATCATGAAATCCTCGAGATATTTCGATAATTGAGACAAACTATTTAAATAATCACCTTTTTTATTTATATTATATCAATTTTTTAAATTCTGTCTCTATCAAACACATTGACGATGAAAATATAAATTAACGAACACGCTGTAGACGAATCGATTTTTAACAACACAGAAATTTAAAGAAAAGTTTATATTTATTTAATAAAAAATTTCAAATTATTAGGACAAATGTCAAATAACGTGAAAAAATTTCCTCACTTTTCCCTGACAATGAGTGGATCGATAATCCAGATATATTCTTGCATTCGGATTTATTGGACTCAACTTGGAGAATATATATTTTATCTATTTAATATTCCATTATTTCATATTTATATAACAAAACGCGGATGACTGTATTTATTAATTCAAAATAAACTTTTATGAAATAAACGTAATGCTTGTCGAAACATTTCTTAGAAATAAAATTTTATATTTAATTCTGAGCGGATCGATAATTCAGATATATTCTTGCATTCGGATTTACTGGACTCAACTTGGAGAATATATATTTCATCTACTTAATATTCCATTATTTCGTATTTATATAACAAAACGCTGATGATGGTATCTATATCAATTCAAAATAAACCCATTTAACTTCAAAGATTTCGGAGTAAAAATAGGAGGAATATGCGAATTGTAATGTCTAAAAATGATTTCAAGAATCATTTCAAAGAAATCTGAAATAAATCGGGAAATGCTTCTTAATCATCTCCGAATGTTTGATTTGGCTGCTGCAAATTTCCATACGGGTAATAAAATGATGAATCGCTTACCTTTCGACTTGGCTCGCCGCGACAGAGCTCCCACAGAAGGCAGAGAGCCAGAGACGATATGCCGGTTTCTTTGGCAAGGGTAGCCAGCGTAGATGATACCAAGGCCAGCAGAAGAGGAAACGGCGATCTCGTGCGATTACAATGGGCCGAATACGTCAGGAAAGATGTCAAGGTCAGGAAGCAGGCAAGAAGGTCGGCACGTCCGACTATACCGGCCACAGCCTCGCTGTGAATGGGATGGACCGCAAACAGGAAACCCGTGATCGCGTGCGCGAGATTGCTCCTTCCTGGCAGGACCTGCGAAGTGTAATTGCGGGTATCTCGTAAGATACACTTGTAAACGTCTCGCGAGACGATCCTTCAAGCGACTGGGAGTGGGGTTAATTAACTTTAATTACCTCACTCAGTTGTAAGAATCGCTTCACTTGAATTTCAATTCATTCTTCATCGAGCAAAATCATTTCTAACCATCTTACTAGAATATTAAAAATTTTTACAATTTTTTTACTTTTTGTATAATATATAGGTTTCTCTGTATAAAATACTCAAGTCAAGATTTTAATAAAATTCATGATAATATATTGACATATATTAAAAATTTTACAATTTTTTTACTTTTTGTATAATATATAGGTTTCTCTGTATAAAATACTCGAGTCAAGATTTTAAGAAAATTCGTGATAATATATATTGACAAAGGTGTAATTATGTCTATATGTAAAAATACAGAAGAGCACAATTCGTAGTTTTATGTTTTCACGCGACACTTGGTAATCGTCCGTAGCGATCATTGATGGGAGTATTCGAAAATTATACGATCCCGATGCACTTTTGCAGTAGGTAAGGGAATGGAGGATAGGAATGGGCGGAATTTCGAGCAGGGAAATTGTATAAATGTGTCGTATATTTTTTTCGCGCGCGTCGCGTCGGTGGAAAATCGAATCGATATGGCGACGAAATGGCACGGAAAGAAAAATCTCTCGGAATCGAAAACGAGAAAGGAGAGAGAAACATTCGCGAGGGCGAAATGCCGTACGGGAGATATTAATAACATGCATATAATTCAAAACGTTGCTCTCGAAGTACGAGAAGTACCTTCATTAATACACTTAGACTCAGTTAATTAGTGTGACAGTTTCATTACTCAGCAAAGTGCTGTGTGTATTAAATTAACGCGGCTCTTCATACTCTTACTTCGCGCGCCCATAATAACGCGCTAAAACGATTTGAGTTGCTAATGAACTTATAAAACGGTATGCAACTTTGATATTACTGCTTATTTTCACAGTCCCAAGATTGCGCTAAGTATTTACATGTAGAATTCTAGTGGAGTTTCTTCATTTCCATAGTAGTTTCGTTTCTTTATCGTGACTTCGTTATATATTCGTCTAGATATTTTTTCTATCTCATTTAAAGACTTACTAATTACTCTGATATTTAATAAACGTAATCAAAACTATATATTTAATTAATATTCATATTGTTTAATAACATTTACTAATATGTTATATAGATTTATATATATAATTTAGTAAAAATGTGATTAAATTTAATATATTTAGTGCTTATAAAATTATGTGTGCCATTTAAATTAGTACACATAATTAATTTTGATTTAAAGTAGTACAATTATAAATTGAACTTGCGTAATTTACTATGTGTGTAATTAGGTTGTATTTTCCGCGACTCCTCAAAGTACCATCCTGAAGTTAAATACTCGCCAAGTTAAACACGGTGACCGAAAGAGGTGATGTAAAATTAAAGTCTCATTAGGATGATAGGTCCTCGTCGCGGTTCTTTTGATCTTCCAACGTATTCGAAAGTTCTATTCGAGATGTTCGCGTGCAGTTACACCGAATCACCATTACAGTTCCTTTTCACGACCGCCCTACGGCGCCTTCGGAATAAGAGGAATCCCAGGCTAACTAAAACGAAGTGGCATCGTAAAATTAAAATTGCGCAGTAGGCTTGTATGCCAAAGTTAAGCGAAATCTTCGTCTTTACTTGAATTCTCCCTTCTGCTCTCTTACTGTCGACAATTCTCCGGAGATATGTTCCGGTAAGTAAAATAACAAGGATCTCTGCGGCTTTATTTCGAATATAAAACGGATCTAGAGTTTAGTTAATCATCAGATGGATTTAAACGGTAAAAAAAACAAATCGAGCTCTTTATTTCTTCCGACGAAACTACGCAGGTTTAATGCAAAACAATTTATATACGAATAAAAGATAAAGACAAATAAAATTCACAATATTTTTATCACTGAGATAGACTTTCAAAATTTTAGAATATTTCTAATAGTCACATACATATCAAAATATATATATATGAGATATTATATTTTTTCTATCACAATAAAATTCGTATATTATTTAAAAGAGATGCTAAAATGTATTTTTTTCCTCGCACAGACGTGTAGCCAACGTTTTAAAAAATTCCAGCATATTTATTGCCTATTTTGATTCGAAAGGTAGTTTCAAAATTCTCAAAGAAAAATAAGAGTGATGGTACACTCACCTTTCTGGCAACCTTGACGACGAGAATGGTACAAGCGGCGTGCAACGCCACGTTCACCAGATGATAGCCCCAGGGTTCAAGACCACCTAGAGAATGATTCAGACGAAAAGTGGCCACGCAAAGCGGTCGATAACTGCCGTGCGAACCGCGTTCCGTCAGCGGTGTTCCCCAAAAATCATTCTCGAGCAATCGATACCACGGTGTGCTCGCTAGCAGGTCAGGATTCGTCAAGATCGCTCTTCTGCAACAGAGAAATAAAAGCTCACATTATATATCAGTATGACAAAACATGCAAGTTTTTTTATATTTATGTGTTTGTGGAAATTATGATTTTTTAATATAAATATACGTACACAATTTTATTTCCGTATCAAATTGTTAACCATAAGTAGTTTGAAATTATTTTAATCGCACACAGATTGAGGTTGCAAAAAAATATAATAAAAATCATATAATTATTTAAAAAATATGTATATATTTATAATTATACAATTAAATTATAATACGATAAGAAATTAAATTTATAAAAAAAAAATATATATATATATATAAAGTTGATTAAATAATCAATTCCTAATAGCAAAATATCTTTCTAAATATTAAATGACAATGACAATTTGTACAAACCAATGTTTGCGTTTATACGACATGTATCCGGATTTGGTACGAAAACAATAAAGCTAGTTATGGAAAATAAAATGGCAAAAATCAATTTTTGATATGCCACGATTCGCATGTAACTTAATCAATGTATATGATGTACTAATACAACTCGTACCGGATTACAACAGCAAAACATGTTAAAAACCACGATGTATTATTATACCTAACGCAATTCAATCTGCGGTTAAAATAAAATAAGCCGTTTCAATTTGCCTACGCCGTGCAATTTAATACGGGACTTGCAACATTTCGGTCAGTTCATCGCGTTAACCGCATCAACCGAAGTTCTCGGGCCGAATGCCAGCGACAAATCATTTGGGATGGCATTTAATAAACCATTTTTATCTTGCGTTCGTAAATTAATTACTCGCGGCGCGAACAAACCATCTACATGCACGTATTAGTTGGCAGAAACAATTTTCGCGCTCGTTATCGTCCGGTCATTCCCTATTAGTGTGTAAATATCATTGCTTCGACGCATTCGGATCTCGTTCGAGAGTTTTACTTCCGAAAAATAAAATTGGGAATTAATAAAGAGTATTTGTTTGACAGAAAATATTTGATAAAATCTCTATTATATCACAGAAAATATTTCCATATAAACCATTACATTTAAATGGAGATTTACAAAAACACAAAAATTATACCATCGTATAAGCATTATAAATTGGAAAAATTCAAAAATTGCGATATCGAGATATTTTATATATACGAGAATTTTTTTTGAAATCAAGATAAAATTGTGAAAAAAATATTCTCTCTCTTCTGGGTGTACGTCTTATCTAGGATTTCAAAGTTTGAATTTATTTTACGAAATAAATGGAAGTCGCGAATAATACAACTAGTTAAATGCGCCACTTCTTATACGAGAATACTCGTTATTATCGTCTGCTTCGCCGGCGAAGCAATCGTACGCCAAGATCACTTACACAGGTCGTAGTGTGTTAGCCTACGAAAATGGTTACGATGGCGATAGTGCTCTGCTGAAACGGCCTTATCGCCCGGTCTTATATCGTCGCTCGCACATTCACGGGTACATATGTATATTTCTACGTGTAATAACTGCAAAGTGTATTTCGAGCACTTCATGAACTTAAGAGTCGCTGGTCGTCCACGAAGAAGGTGCTGAAACGACAACGACGTAGTTGCACGAGGATCGGAATGGCGCCGTTTGCTTGGCGCATTTTTGTCTCTTTATTGAGGCCTTAAATGGAAGAAGCTATATAGAGAGCTGCTCTCCAGGTTCATTCGATAATTTAAAAACTTTCCTCTCATCAACGATTTTTATATCTTCACGTTGAATTCACGTCAAGTACCGATTTAAAACACGGAATGTGTGAACAATAAATAATACGTGTAAAGAAACAGGATAATGTTTCACTCAACTACGCGCGTAAAAAACAATTGTACAAAGTTAATAATATAAAATATACGTTTTTTAATGTTTTGATTTATACATATGCATTATAAAATGAAAGTGGGAGCCGTTTATCGATGTAATTCTTTTTCATCGTAGTAACAATGTGTTTTATAATAAAAGCATATTTTTTTACATCAGTTAATAAAGTTATCCAATCGAATCATAGACTGGTGATTATCGAATTAGTTTACAAAACTATTATCATGCCGCGTAAAATGGTATTGTTATCTTTTTCCTGGTTTACATTTTCAATTATCGTATTGTTATGAATAAAACATAAAAGCGCAATGCAGAGGTAATTATATTACTCTAGGAAACTAAACGTTGCGACTGCATATAATGTACGTATTTTTATGGAATAAAAATGTAATAATTATGTATAATAAAAATATAATATATTTTTATAATGCTATCTTTTTAGAATTATCTGTAAACTTTAATACTAAAAAGAAAGAAAGAAAAAAAAATCACCGAAATTGATACGCAAAGAAAGCAATTACTGCGACTGCGCTTTTACCTTAAGAAATTCTTTCTTATCTTCACGAAAGAACATAATTGAATCCTTACACGACTAAATCCGTTTGTTTTCTCAAAGAAAGGAGGAAGATTACCGCAACAATAATGTGTACAAGTGTTTCGTGCCGCCTTCGCGAAATGAATAAAGCTAAACGATAACATTTTACGCGGCTAAATCTATTTCCACCTTTAAACAGCGTGTTGAAGGAAACTTTCGGTCATTTGGAGTCATTTCAATTGCTTCTCGACAATTTGTATCGTGCACGTTTCGCGAATTATGAACGTAATACGTTATATAATCTATTATTCTCGCCTCTACTTTCATTCAATTAACGCGGTTCTATGTTGGACGCGCTGTAAAAAGATTTGTAAAAAGTACGTCACGACTCGTTACGCCTCGTCGAACTTTTTCTTCGTCGGATCGTATAGACGATCCTTTGCCTCGGGCGAAAAGGCGTTCTAATCGACGGCTGATCAATATTCATGGGTATCGATGAACTCGATGTTTCGGTTCGTCTCCGGATCCTGATATCAAAGGTTACATTCTCGGTGAATATCTACATCGTCGAGAAAAGGATTTCGTTGACTTTGCATCGTATAATGTTTAACATTGCAACAAACTCAAAATTTGCCTTCATTTAATACGTTCTTAATAATATTTTTTATCGTCTTGACGATAAAAGATATTTAACCTATCATATATAATTTTTTTTTAATTCTCACAAAAAATCATTTCACAAAAGTGTTGCAACTGTTATCTTGAAAAGTTAATAAAATAACGCATATAAATAAAATTTTTATTTGATATTGTATTTATTTTATGTAGAGCAATAATTTTTTCAAGAATCTTTCTTTATCGTTTTTATCTCATTTTTCTTTCATATTCAAGCGCAATATTTCCATATATTTAATTGTAATATTATGATATTAATTATGTTTGAATAATTCATAAATATCTGAAGCTTACACACATGGAAATACAATATTACTATTAGTATAATTATATGAATTGCATATTTTAAAATTTTCTACGATACTTTATTTATTCGCAATTAGAGAAAATTATAATCATCAAAATTACGTCAAATTATCGAAATACGTGACAAATAAATAATAAATGATTAAAATAGAATGTTTCTTTTATAATTAGCGAGAAAATGAGTAAATTATTGGAATTTTGAAATGCAAACTATTCAAATATTATGATTCGAGGATGCATATTTAAAAGTACACACTTTTCTTATTAATCTGAATAAATTTCGCGCCGAGTTCGCACAAAAATCTCGGTACAATTCGGGACGTCGCGTAAAACGCGCGACACCAAATTACTTTCTTGTTAGCCGCTCTCGCACAATTCCCGCCATTTTCCCGAATAATTTGTTATGCCGGAATGAGTTTGTCCGTAAAGTTGTGCTCGTCCTCGAGCGCGAGTAATCGAGATTGCGCGTCCTCGACGCTTTTTCGCGGAGCTTTCGTTCGCCATTCGTTCGCTCGCCCGTGCCGATTGGCTCGCGTGTAATGAAAATTTGTAAAATCTCCCGGCGAGAGGCGCGAACGACGACTGGCGGAGGGAGGGAAAAGCCATCAATTAATCCCCATTCATGCCGATTGCAGCATTCTGAAAATTCGCGCCGAGTGTCGTCGCATCCGCCTCGTTTAGGAGTTATTTTTCTGTCGCGGCGCTCGCCGATTTTCCGCCTCGCTTAAACGAGAAACGCTCAAGTAAGTCGCTCCTTTTCACTCACGCATCCTTGCAATTGAATTCGGGAGTAATCTCCGTCTTGAATCTTGAATTTCGACATATAGTTGCTCGAGTGACGTACGCAAAGAGAAGTGAGCGAAAAATGGGACAGAAAAAAAATTCGGGATATATCCTTCTAAAAATAAAAAAATAATGCTTATATATTATGTTAATGTATTATCATTTATCGTGTGTTTGATAGTCTAATATGCGGCAGCTGACAAAAATTTACGAATTGAAGAAAAGTCACGTTAGATATGAAATTTAATTTGAAAATTCTGTATGACATTTTATTATCTTACTTTACTCGACTACTTTTGATTAGACTTTAATTTTTAATTTTTCATCCTTCATCTGTAAGATTTGCGAGATGACGCGGCGAAGTTAATACATCGCATACCGTACCGGAACGAAACGAGAAAATCAACGTCGAAATTTAATCTCGATAATGAACGTCGTGGTCGCACCGACACGCGCGTGTTTAATGGCGCGTGTAGATGTACGAGATACATCCGACAATTTAGAGATCGATCACTCTGTCATCACGGCGGGTTTGCACGTGGTTGATTTCAGCCGGGCGGGGTATATTTGCATGAAGAATTATTTCTTTGAAATTCGCGCAAGAAATAAAAACGCCGTACAAGAGTTCACGATAACGCGCGTGTCGTTAATGAAACTCGAGCGCACGAAGGGATCACAATATTTTTCTATCATAAAGTTCAACTTTTGCGCGAAGTACGTAATTGTTCGAGCATATTCGTACTCTTTACACCACGGACTTATACTACTTTTCTGCGAATGTTCGAATATCTTTTTTACACTCGAGTTTAAATTCCAAATTATTATATCTCTGTTAAGAGGATCCTAAACGTCCTTGAGAAATCTGTTAATTCTTTCCTGT